GCCCAGTAGGTTGAGGCTGCGGTGGCCGGGAGCGGCCATTGCACTCCAGTCTGGGCGACAAAGTGAGATTCCAACTCAAAAAAAAAAAAAGAAAGAAATGAAAACAATGGTGCAAATATCGTTCACCGACTTATCTGCTGAATAACTTATGTAGCTTATTTTTGATATGCTTTTATAATTTATTATAAATATGCAGGCAGCGCACATGTAATATGTTGGTCAAGATAGAACATAAATTGGTTAAGTTCAGAAAATTTTATTATATAAATTCAGAAACTTCTAAACATAAAGGAAAGAAAATAAGAGTTTTGTTTACATCCTAGCATCAGGTGAAGACACTTCTCCCTTATGTAAAAACAGAAATAATGACTACAACATCTTATTTTCATTTTTCTATGCTATGAGAAGCAGAAAATGTGAAATTCTAGACTCAGAAAAACACAATATTGTGATTTTAGTCAAATAAAAAGCATGGGACAATAAACGGAAATATTTGCTTTTACATATAATAACTTATTTGCTTTCATTGACATATACATTGACATACAACATCAAATTTCACTTGAGTGCAGATAGGAAGACTTCTCCAATCCATAAGAGAACTAGATTTCACCAAGTAGTGCCAAGTGTAAACACAACATTTATTGCAAATAGAAAAGTGCACATAATGGAATCTTACTTGCACTAATTGGCTTATATTATCAGGTCCATGAATGATAATGTTCCTAATAAAACAATATTAGAATAAAATCCCAAGCATACCAATAAACCTGCTGCTGGAATTATTTAATGTGCTCTTACGCAAGGAGCGTGTGCTGCTAATTAAGATTCTGTTGACACAGCAGGTTGCTATAATTCCACAAGCTGTGTGTGATGCTACCCAATAGATGATAAGTGGACCAGGTCAGTTCGTCAAGCTTTATCTCTAATTAGCACTAAAAACGCGCACTGCAAACTACAGCACAGAAAAGACTTGACCTTGCTAAATTAGATGCGTAGGAAGGACGGCAAATGAAGCTCTAATTTCAGAGAGATGAAGCCTTTTATGCAGCAATGGAAAGGTATCCACGTCATGAGAGCCACACCAACCATCACAATGTATCGAGTCAAACCACAGTGCTCTATTCCTAGAGAAAGAGCTTTTAGTCTTTCTGAATCAATCCTTCCACCCATCTTTCTCCTTGTCCCCCATAAACAGGTTAAATTACCTTTCTCACAGTGACTTCCTGTGAATCCAGATGGACAGACACATTTGTTAGGAGTCACACATGTTCCACCATATCTGCAGCCCTCTTCACAGAATGCTGTCGCAAAAGAATGAAAGATTTCTCTTAGATGGAAATCCACAAAAAAATCCATGGTAAACATCATGAACGTTGAAATAATTCTTGCTTTGTTGCATAGGAAATACACATCTGTGTTGATATACTTAAAATTTTCCATATACAAACAGAAATAAATGTAATAATACTTATTTCACTAGTTTACATAAAGTCAATTGAAATAGTAAATGTAAAGTCTTCAGCACAGGGCTAGCATGTGCCAAATGGTTACTAGTATTAGCAGCTGTTACTGTTGCTATCATTAATATTATTGATGCATATGAAATAAAGTTAAATAAATCAAATAACTAGGAAGGGTAGGGTTAGGGTTAAGACAATGGCTTTTTGTAATTTACTCTTTTTCACCAAACATCTTTTATGACAACAAAAACTTTTTTTTAAAAAAAAAGCTTCTTGGTCATCAATGTAATTTTTTATATTTATAAATTTAACTGATCTCTTACTTTTGAATATATACACTGTTTCCAATATCTTGGTAATAAAAATAATGCCTTATCCTTATAACTAAAATGCCTAGCACACCCCCAAATTATTTATTTAGGGAAAAAAAATCAATGTGGAAATTCGGGTTCAAAGGGTGTAGACTTCCTAAGCATTTTGATAAACATTACACAGTAAGTCCTTCCCAGTGCTACCTGCTAGCCTTCCCAGACTAGGTTAGCTCCCCGTATGACACACTTGCAAAGCATAGCACAACTCCATGATCCTCTCCATTGTAGTATCAAATGCAATTGTAAATTTACAAGTAATTGATTACCATCTCCTGCCTCATCTATTGGACTGTGAGACTCATAAAACAATAAGTAGCATCATTGTTTTTACTTACTACTGTGTTCTAACCCCAGGATCTGATCCCATAGTAGATGTTCAAAAAATTTGTTGAATGAATTAATCTACATTTTCAGGTGATTCTAATAGGACAATTCTTGTTCTAACAATTCTGCAAGACTTCCATCCAGATAATTTAATATCAAGCCTTGCTGGATAATCAACAATTTCATCTACTAAAACTGCAGAATTTCCCATTAATGAAGATGATCGTCACTGTTAACCCTGAGTTTATTTTTTTCAGATGAGCAATAGGTGAGTAAATCCTTTAAATTTTAATTGTAGATACTAAATGCCACAATGGAAAAATGTCATGGTTATATTTTGCCATCATCACTCATAATTAATATGAGTCTAACTGTAAAAGCCACATGGTGTATTCAGGAAATTGAACACCAGCACAAGCCCATACAGCTTCTCACAATATTGGTGTTTTCCACATCATTTAATATACCTTGGGTGATTTAATATTCTGTGGCTTCAGCAATTAATTTCGAGGTCCAATGTGTACCTTGGAATTCATATACCATTTTCTATTTCCACCATATTATTACACCACGTCTATGTAAAAAAGATTTAGACAATATCTTCCAAGATATGTTCATCAAAAAAGTCAAAATATATAAAATATAGATGCATGCAAAATCTTTTGTCCCCAAAATTACACCTTGTGGGTGCTGATGACTGACATTTCAAATAAGATATTTAAGGTTTAGCTCTTCATTGAAGATTATGACAGAATGGTAAAGTGTTTTTGCAAGCTAAAATTAAAAGATGGAAAGCCAGTTTAAAAAAATGTTTTAAGTGACACCAAAAGAAGGCAGAGGCTTGGACATAGAAAGCTCAGGTTTCTTTAGTGCATAGCTGAAACAGCCCTTCATCTACATTCTTCAAGTCTGATTCAGAGACTCAGTGCTGTTTCATAGCAGGTATGTATGCTTGGTTTACTTAATCCTTAAGTAGAGATGATAATGCAGTAGAATGTTTTATGAGAAGAGCATGGAGTGTTTGTGATTTCTAAGAATGCACAGATATTAGAATAAACAGGGTGTTATAAGGATAGAATGAGTTAGCATTTGTAAAGGACTTAAAATTATCTTTGACACTGTTATATCAGTATCCTTATATAATAAATAAATAATAGAGTTAATTGACAGCAGTAGCATTATAAATGTGAAACATAGACCAGGAACACATTTCTAGACAATAGAAATTCATCCTACAAAGGTGTTCTGCTGCACCAAAATGGGTTTAAGGTATCCCTTTATATTTATGCTTTATTTAGTTTCTTAAAGCAACGTATTAGCCCTAATCATGAAAGCATATGATAGGTGTATTGTTTTCATTAAAGACTAGTGAAATTGAGGCTCAGAAATCAAGTGCCTTATCTAATTCTGATAGGTAGTAAGTGACAGAGACAAGATTCAAAACATGTTTGCCTTCAAAATCCTACCTGTTTTATTTATTGCAGTGTAGGCTTATCTCAACCCCAGTAGTCACGAAAGCACATTTATTTATTTATTTATCGAATAGTTCCATAAAGGCTAAGGGAACTGACTAGAAATTCAAAGAAAATAAAATGCTCAAATTGCATATGTTGCATTAAAGAATGGGAATAAAGAGATGTTCAAGTTCATGTACCTCATATCAAACCTCTGTTTTTACCTGAGATTAGTCACATTGTTCTCAATCTAGGCACACATTACTTTTCATAGAAATTATTTGTAATAATCAAGAAAATCATTAGACATTATGACAAAGTGATTTTTTAAAAAAACACAAAGCAAATAAAGAGGAAACACAACATCCAAAATGTAATTACTTTGGAGAAATTGAGATCAATTCAAGTTTTCATTGAATAACTCATAAAATAGTAAAATACACTGATGTAACTTATCTGAAGAGTATAGATGGATTATTTATATTGAAATAGGCTCTTCTTGATTGACTATGATCCTATCATTTAAAATAAAACAGTTCTCATACGCAGAGAACCTACAATTTGCACAGCATTATTCAGTTGATGGCAGAACCAAAACTAGCAGTTGGGTCATCGCTACATTCCCTTTCTGGTTTGTAAAGAGATGGACTGGTAGAAATCATAGGGTCCAAATTTTTGCTCTAGATTTATTAGCTCTGTGATATACAGCAAATCATTCCACCCCTCTGCGCCTCCATTTTCTCAACAGCAAAACAGTAAGAATAATAACAACATCCATGCTGTGAGAGTTAAATTAAATTACCAACACAAACTACCCAGCACCAGGCACAACAAATGGAATGTGCTCAAGAACTGAATGTGATTATTATTTATAACGAGGACCCTGCTTTTCCAGATGACAATCTCTATTGTGAAGCGGTTTACATTCTCAATTCTGAAAATGCAGTAGTAAGATGGCAAAAATCCCTGTGCTGTAGAGCTTATTCTTTAGTAAGAAGTCGTTACCACTCCTTCTTTGACTTACTGACCTTCATAGTACCACATGATTTGCAATGGAACTTGGAATCACAGCTCCCGAGCAAACTCAGAGAAACGCAGGCACCATGCAACTTAACATATTGGTTCTCTGCCAACTACTATACAAATTCTGAAGTACAGCATAAATAGATAATAGATACACAGTCTATGGCCATACCACCCTGAACACACTCAATCTCATCTAGGTTGTAGATATACAGTAAAATAATAAGCCTGAATCTGTCATTATAGTGCCATGTGTTATTACCTTACGATCCTAGAAAAGATATTGGATTGGATCAACTCTAAAATAATATACTTCTAATTTTGAAAGAACTCTTTTCATTGTGAAAGAAAATAAAATCACAAAACTCAAATCTGAGAAAGCTTCGATCCACAGAAAGAGTGCTTTCTTATATTAAAAAAGTTATCAGTATGTGAAATAAAATGTGGTCATCAAGAGGAACAGACGAGAAGGTGGGCTTGCAGATGCCAAGTTTGTGGATGCCCAGTATCTTCACCATAGCTTAATTTGACATGAAAATGGTTTTACACTAATAAAAAAAATAGCCCTTCGTGTTCTAAACACTTCTCATAATCCTCTTAAAGTTTACTGGTATGTATTTAGTTCCTAGGGACACATTAAAATCCCAACAAAATAGGTAAACATACAAATCTCAGCACCATCTGTTAGAAGCAAAACTTTTTCTTCCCTCTGATTTTCCTTGAGGAAACATTTTTCTTAAGCTCATTTCTGACCTCTGTGCTGGGATGTACCATACAGTTAGGAGACGATGATGTCATTTTTAGCTTTATTTTGGGTAATGTGAATTACCCTAGTAAAAATAATTATCTGTTTATTTAAACAAATTAAAACTGACCACCATGGACAATGGTTACTGGTTGTCATGAACCAGGGATTATAGTTATTTTGATTATGTACACCTAAAATGGGGGGAAGAAATTAATATTATTATTATTATTATTTGAGTTGTAGTCTCACTCTGTTGCCCAGCCTGGATTGCGGTCGCACACTCACAACCACCCAAGCAGCAACTTGCTGGGCTCTGGTGATACTTCCGCTTCATCCCTCCAAGTAGCCAGAACTACAGGGGCACGCTATGATGACCTGCTAATTTTTTTTTTATTTATTGTAGAGACAAGGTCTCACCAAGTTGCGTGGGTTGGTCTCGAACCCACAGGCTCAGGCAATCCACCCACCTTGGCCTTCAAAAGTGCTGGAATTGCAGACTGAGCCACCCTGCCTGGCTGGAAATTATTAAAATCTGGTCATGTTCAGGAATGCACCATGCTCATCCTGTTTCCCTACTGGAAGTGACCTGCCTTCAGACAATGTAAGTTTTCCTTACTTACTTGATGATACTTTCCTCTCTGGGACTCGGTGGATAAGTCAGCCTCATTTTGTGTTCATTGTTAGCAAACCAGCTTGGTTTGCAGACTTAAAACTCGTGTTCTCCAACCCAGCTCTGTCAATAGTAAAGCGATAGCATCACCTCCATGTTTGCTTTTTGGTTTATTCCTCACCTTTTCAGAGCATGATCTTTATTAAATACCCCTGAAACATTTTCGTTTGTTGCAGGGAGGGGAGAGGCAGTGTGCTACCGTCACTGGGTGGATAGAGACCAGGAATGTGCTAAACATCCTATAATGTTTGTGCAATGAAGAATTATTTGAGCCAGGCTCGGTGGCTCAGCCTGTAATCTCGCGCCTTTGGGAGGCTG